TATGTGCTCTCTTTTATGCAAAATTTGTGTACAGGGCTCCCAAATTGCAGAGTCGTTTGCACCAGCGGTCGCGCGACCGCGTCGCGCCCGGGCATCAATGGCGCCGCCTAGGTCGATGGCGCCGGCGCCGGCAAGATGTACGGGCGCGACGCGCTCGCGCGACCGCTGGTGCAAACGACTCTGCAATTTAGGAGCCCTGTATGTATCGATTTACTGATATGCGATACCAACGTTCAGGTGTTCATGCAATTACATAATGCTCCATGTAAACATCGAAAGACTTCATCTGATACTACTTCAATATCGCAGCTTCTTTTTAGCCATATTCCACCTACAAGCCGTCTTACCGTAACCAATACTATGTCAACAACGCACCACAACAGCATGCTCATATCTCTCTTCACGTAGCACTTCGTAGCAAGGGATGCACAATTGGAATCAACGTTTATCACACGCAAACTTACATGTCTCTTTGTAAGATTTCAAGTTGACGACTAGTCGATGCATTGAAGTATTCTCCCTATAACTTCAAGCGCTGCCGATGCGCAACTCAGAATTGGCGTTTATGTAATTTGGTCCTTTTTTGGTTAACCAACTTTCAAGATATGTTTTACAAGAAGAAGAAGTGAAGTAAACGGTAAATCTTTTCGAAAATGTGATGTAGCTTCAAAGGTCGTTGATAATAGAAAACTTCTCTCAAAACGTTATGACACCAGGTATGCAATCACATCAAAAGTTACATGATATAAGATGTAAGACTTAAGCAAGTGTGCAAATCTTGGTCTAACACGTCGTTGTGCTACAAACTATTTTTACATGATATTGTATAAAAGAAGCGAAATTTAGTCATGAGGAGACGCTCACGCTTACACATTGTTTTTTGAGTAAATATGTTGGGAAGTTTAGGATGTTAAGCTAGCTTCATTCCTTTCTTGTAATATCTTTCGTATCTTTACTAGCCTGTCGTTAGAATTCAAAAGTACTGTTTTTTGTGCCTTTAATGAAAAGCATGTATAGCTCTGTAACATATCATGTTACATATACATAGTACTAGTCTGACATCTGTAATCATTACAATGCTTCGGAAAATTTATCCACTTATATGCCTAGTCAGTACTTATACGAGAAGTCACGTTCTCTGAAGTGAAAGATGTATAACTAGTTAACAAACTTTTTATACTGCGACTGCTGACAAATTTCCATTATGTCATAGTTGCTCTTTTTAACAAAGCAGATGACGTTCAGCATTCTGTTCTATTGGGGAATGATTTGGTCATTACACCTGTGTCTCCGTTGACGACGACAGCCGAAACGATATTTCAGTGTAAATCACGTCATGAATTTTTATTTGGCATTTGGAAGGATTCTCTGCCCACTTAGTTGCCTTCGCTTCTTAAATTTGAACGTCACTTTTCAAGTAAATTATTTAGCCGACGGTAAAGTCGCTTTTTTTTAACGTACCACAATCTTCTCAAAAACAGGTTTGGAATGTTATTAAAAGGATTTCGTTGTTTTGAAATTTGTTTCAAACTCTGTACCATTAATTTTCGGAAGCTCCACTTCTTTTCCATTTACTTCTATTCATAAGTGCTGGCCATGTCGCATTGGTTTGTAAAACTACGTGGGTTTTACTGAAAATATTAATTTGGCTACAATATTCAGTAAATGCACATTTGGACGTCTTGCAAGGATTTTTTTGTTTGGACCTGTAACATTGGAATTTCTTCAAAACTTAACTTTGAATTGTCAACGAGTACGCAACCCTGGGGCAGTATAACAAATACGGTCTTTAATTCGATTTTGAAAGCGAGATAACGCGTTTAACGGCGCTATTCGCATAAACGATTTCAATATATACTAGCGGCGGATCCGGAATCTCCGTTCACTTGAGAGGGGATCGAATGAAGGCGCTAGCCACATATTTCGAAAAAAATTTTGGGACGCTTCCCAAAATACTGGCTTTCTACCAGAAATTTTAGAGGAAAGGGGCATGGCAAGAGCCACGTCTCCGAAAAAATTTTCTACAAGGCTGATTTGCATTTTTAGAAAATTTCAAAAAATTTCATTCACAATAGGAGACAAAGAGACACTTGTACATTTTTATAACCCATGTAAGTTATCCAAAATTTTGCTACCCATTCTCGAAGGAGGAGGTGGATTCCCCCATCTCCCCACCCCTTTCGCTCCACCACTGCTATATCACAAATCCTTATGGGGAGCACAAAATGGCAGTCTTATAGGTGTTCCTCTATCAAGTCAACTTGAGTCAAAAAACCTGAAAGCACGTTACAGCTGCTCTGTGCGCTCACTATGCCATGCGAGCAAGTCAAATATGTGTGGAGGGTGATTTGAGCTTTTGTGCACTAACTTGCAGGGAATATGTTATATCGTCTCCTATTTTTTCGATACCACCAAAACCATCGCTCTATCACTTCCCTTGATTAATGCTTGCGCTAACATTCAACGGAGCAAAACGCATAACGCATAATACGTAAATTATGAAGTTGAAATCTGACAGTAGTTGAAAACAAAACTGAGTGCCAATATCTCCGTCTCAATACATCCCAAAAATTCGGCACTTATCCCAAGCATATGCCTGGCAGACTGCGCATTCATTCACCTTTCGCATTTATCCCATGATTAGAAAAGAAGGAAAAATTATGGGAGTAGAATGGAAATTTCCCTTTTAGCTGTTCTGGGTTTCTCTCGCAAATGTAATCATATTAAGTCGTGCCATAAGTTTGTAGCGTTCTCATAAATGGACGAAAAGACAAAGTTTTGCCAAAATTTAGTTGATATTGTAATTTCTGCTCATTACATCTTGCCTTCTTGCCCAGATCTTCAACTTCGTTTTTCCGAAGCTCAGCAGGTGTGATCCAAAAATTGTCTAACCAACGCCTAAGATCGCCTTCAAAATCGGAACAAGCACCTTTCATACGGTTTGCAAGAGAGTGGGACAAAAGATCATATGATGGAGTGAGGTCTGAGGAGTATAGCAGATACTAATTGGTTCCCCAGTCAAGTGTTGCAAGATGGCTTTGACGGTGTTTGCCGTACGGAGCCATCCTTTGTTATGCAGATAAATTAACTGGACCTCTCATTAAGTCCCTTTGCATAGTGATTTGTTGATACGGTGCACTTTTGCCTGCGGTATGATCGACAGTTTTGTCCTTGTTTGGCAATTTTCGGTGCAGAACCTCCTGCCCGTCCTGCAAAAAGTCTTGTTCAGGGGACACCCGGCAAATTCTTGACTTCTTTGATACAATCTTAGGCGCCAATTTTTATATTCGGCAAAAGCAAATTCATGCAAAGAAAACTTTTTTTAAGAAAAAAAAATGAACAGATGTCGAAAATGCTTTATTTGGCTTTATTTTGAAAATTTTACATCTGAAACCTAAGAAGTCAGCTTACCATCGAAACCAATAGGCTCACTGTCATGAGCATGACTAGCTCTTTTCAACGTTATGTGCACCTTGCCGCAAAACAACCGCCTTCCAGAAAAACGGAAACGAGAATGAAAGGGTTGCGAACCTATAGAACGACTAAATATATCATATTCATATATTTGTACCATTGTTGGTGCCAAAGTTCTCATGAAATACTTATTTTAGGATTGTAATCCAAAAAGCATGTATCTAACATGCCTAGAGCAATAGACTAATGAAAAAAAATTTCCAAATAAAATTTTATTCGCTTGCTACTTCCTAGCATTCTCTATAGGCACTTTGTATTGAGCGGAGATCTAAAACGTATATGTACATCAACCAGCGGAGTGCTGCGGCTATAACACCTTATTTGCAAGTATCAGCCCTCCGTCATTTGCATTTGAAAACTTCCTTCATCAATGATAGCATAAATCATCTAGTTCTCGATTCTTTCGACAATTCTAGGAGCGACTTGTTCTCGTTTCTCATTCAGCAAACAGCTCAGCTGACTAAGTGCTCATGTCCAAGGTTGAAAGATTTCTGTGCGATACTCCCCACGGTCGCTTTATTATAGAAAATTTCTTCAACCTTTCTTTCCCTATTCTTGGAGAACGGCTCGAACAGCACAAGTTGGCTTGGAAATATAATAGAGTGCCTCCAGTCTCCTCCAAAACAACTTATAAATTGCTTACGAGGCACTCGCTGCGACAGGCCAATCTGCATGTAGATACAAAGACATAACATTGTGAAATATCACTGCCTTTTCGCAAACTAGAGCTCGAAAACAGAAACTTGACTTACTGCCATCTTATAAAGCAATTTTTTATGTGTAATAACGTTTATCTCGAATTTTTTGTTTTTTTAAACGAGATCTTTACACTAGTATGGACACTGTTATGAGAAACTTTTATAAATTTTGGGGGCTAGCTGGCTGCCTGTATCTTTTCGAATTAACCCAAACCACGAAATTTTGAAGGCCAATCTGAAAGATTTGCTTAATTTGAATTGCGGATAAGTAGGTGATTGACAGTGTCAAGTTGTGATATTATAGTATATTCTTCTACAAAAGTGTAAATTCGGTTTAGGGTCTGATTAGTTACCAGATTTCGTTCAAATCATGCAAGGACTTTTGTCCTAACCTAATTAATGCTTCAACCTCAAGCTCTGCTCCATACCTCTGCTTCACTCTTACCTTTGGTATACGGTGCCTATATTCTAATTTGGGAGAAGAATGTAAAGGTGTTGCCACCAACGAAAACTCTAGCATTTGTTTTGGGGCTTTCGAAGATACTGCTTTTAGGACACACCTTCTGATTATCGAACGGTTCCAGTTTTTGCTTCGTTACTTTTCTGTAAAGTTTACTCGCTCAATTAGGACTTGCAGTAGTTCGAAGCTTTAGAACTTCAGTTGTTATCAACAATCCTACAAAACTCCTCGCATAAGTATTTTTCCGCTTTGAACATTGACATTTCACTCACGATGAACGATGATAGCTCCTTTGAGCATTAGTGCAATATCAAAATTTGTCCGTTGCTTCGTTTCATGCATGTCTACTCATTTTTCGATGTGCTGGTTTCCAGAGCACCGCAGCATCTATGTTCTGGAACAGGTTCCGGTACGCACTTCTTGTCATGGGTTTCCTCTGTCTCGCATCAATCTGCTCCAATTACATCATCATTAACTTCACATTCATTTGCATGGAGAGTGATGATTCAGGGAATGTTCATATAGGCAATAAGGTCAGAATTTGATATATCGAGCTCAATCATTGAAATACAAGTTTTGATCTACCCGCAAGGATCATCAAAACTTTGCATGTTGATGTCATGTTCACGTCATTCGTGCAAATGTATTGAGTTGTTCAGCAAATGATAGCGCCTCCCATGTTACCGCAAAAGGGTAGGATTTGAGAAAAAAAGTAAGTAAGCATTATTCTATCATGGAAAGCAAGCTCTACAAAATATTCAACAAGCATTCGCATTACTTATGAACCATTCAACGTTTGTACACAAAATCAAAATACATAAAAACTGTACATGCACGAGCAAAAATCCTATCAGTCTAATATTTGATCACGTATTAGATGCATCATACACTTCTCTATACACATGCTGTGATTTTCCAAGATTAAAGTCCAGATTCCATAATGTGTGGAATGACAAACCAAACTCGGGTTCCTCCCTCGCATATGATTTGTCTTCTTCAAATCTATGGCGTTCCATTGTACAAAAGGAATTCAGGGAACTTACTAGGAATCAAATAACGGAAGTTTTTTAGCCACGTGCTTTTGAAAAAAATTTCGTTGAAAACAAGTGTTCAGAGAAGATGTTTTACTTAGTGTAGCCGTAAATCAAACGAAAATGCGAACAACTGAAGATTGAATTGTAACGGCTTTAGTATTTTAGTATCAATAAATGTCTTGTTGTGCCGTTGTTGCATTTTATTGTTTTGTGAATGGAGAAGGCAAGAACATGTTCTACCCGTAATACATAGAGCCTAAGAGAATACGACCTTCAGCGGGGCGAAGCTAGGATGCTAAGCTCATACTTAAATCGAAGTGATTGTAAATGAAGATATACGAGAGAGAATAAATCGATGATTTCCAGCAAAATCGCAATTTGGGTTTTATAGCCTTTTCTGTGTACACCTCCTCATGAAGGACAGAGTTCTTCAACTGATCTCTTCTTCGATTACAAATGAGTTTCAAACTGTCGAAGTTCAATGAAAACGGAAAAATGCGCTTCAATTATAGGCAGAGAGTCGCGGAAAAAATGCTGGTCTATCTCGTTAAAGTAGGGCTTAGGAAGAGACTGGATATTCGCGAACCTCGCCTATATTTGCGAGACGCCAACCCTTAGACAAAATCTTTTCCGTTCTTGACGCGTTTTCACATGGCGAACACAATCGAACGCATACTGTTTTCCCGTTAGTGCTTGCTTTTGACAAAAACAGCACCAAAGGCACTTGTCTAAGGTTTTCGCAAAATCACGAGAAAAAAAAGATTTTAAAAATGTTTTAAGCTTTCTAACTGCCATAGGAATCAGCGTCATGAAAAAGTTCGCATGAGGCGAAAAGTGGAAGTCACGAGTTTGCCCAAACGCTGCCCTTCAAGTAGTGGTTTCTGAGGGCGGCAGCGTTGTCAGTGCTCCTAGTCTTTCCATGGCGAGCAACTTCATTAATAATTGCACGGTTTCGTTGGGAGTCTATGGAGTTTATGACTAAAGTCTCGTCGGCTCTGCTCTGCTCGTTTACGCCTCCACTTATCGTGCAATATCTCGCTTCCCACGCGCTCCATGGGCATTTGGCTTTGGTATCCTATTCTTTCGTTGTTTCGAACGCGGCTCTAGCATACTCTATATCATACTAGCTGGCGTATCCGTTCTTACCCGGTTCATGAGCCACCACGGAGCTAGAGGAAGGGCGGGAGAGCGCATGAAAATGTGTTCCGTTTCAATAACCTATGTCTTTCCATCTTTCATCCTACTTATATCTGCTTCATTCACCCTCCCACCCCCCCCCCCCCTTTCGTCCTCCTCTCACGCAGCCTATGTCCGCCCTGCACGGTACATTGTAGTTGCAAATGCCTAGCTCAAAACGGTATTATCTAAAGGTACCACGTTCTCCTGACCGCGAAATGAGAATGAGTTTTTTTGCCATTGTTTACACCAAAATTTGCAAGCGGTTTGATAGCAGTTGACAAGAATTCACTTCCAGTGCAAGTGGCTGAAAATCAATAAGTCTATAGAAGGATCCAGAGAATTGCCGCTCAAAGTAGCCTTAGACCACCGCTGGGATAGCCGTGTGCGAAATTTCAGCTCGATCGATTTAACGGCTGGAGTTCCTATAACGAACGAATAACTAACAAACATTCTCACAGGCTTTGAGTTTTGTATACAGTGCTGGACAAAATTATAGGTCCACTCTAAAAAGTGCCATAACTCACTCTATTGTCAATAAAATGTGTCAAAATTTGGTAGAGCCGTGTGCTTACCAGCCTACTATCAGTCATCAAGATGGGTCTCGTTTTCATTTGGTTATTCAAGAAAAAATCAAAATTTTTGAAAAAAGCAGGGTTGAAGGCTGGACAAAATTATGGGTCCACCTGGAGTTTTTACTGATTAAAGCACCTCTTAGCTCCCGAATTTCTTTAGGTAGGTACACATCTAAAAACGTTAAACAGCTGCTTTAGTCAAGCTGTGTCATACCTTCAAAAACAAATGATTATCTGCTTTTTGCCTTGAAAATGCTTTTACATGTATTTCGCTCCACAAACCTGCGTTGAGTAAGAAATTCTGCAGTTTCTCAGCTGGATCGGAAGGGATGGGGTTTTATCTATCTTCTGGATGTTTTCTGACGTGAACATTGGGAACAAAATCCGACTTTTTGCTACTGGAGCAAATGCAACATTGACAATACTGCAATTCTGAGCTCAAATTTCTGCCTTCAAACTTCTTTTACGATGTTCTCAGAAGCATAAAGTAAAGTGAAGGCTTTGTTTCTACGAAGGGGAGTCCGTATCCCATGGCAACAATTTTCTAGAGATTCTACCATTCGAGTATAATTACTGAAATCACCCTGCAGAAACTAATTGCGACAAGCACCAACTCAGACAGCGAAAAGGACCCCTCCGGCGGAGAAATGGCAGGGCCGCGGGGTTTCCCCAGCGGTGGGTCTGCCACTCGTCCGCCGGAGCCCTCCCATTTCTGCTCCGGAGCCCTCCCATTTTGTGCTCCGGAGACCTCCCATTTCTGCTCCGGAGACCTCCCATTTCTGCTCCGGACCCCTCCGATTTTCTCCGGCGCGGCTCGTCCAAATCTGGCGTACCTCCGGAGCAGAAATGGCGTACCTTTGCAGCAGGGCCGGGGGAAGGGTCCCACTTGCCTGCCAGTGATGTCGCCGCGACCTACAAGAAGGGACCGCCCAATCGCTCCGCTCTCATTGGTCAACTGGGTCCGGCGCGACTCTGGCAGATTCCGACTGTCCGGCGGAGGGGTCCGGTCGATTGTCCGAGAAAGCTGTTTGTGGCTCCGACGAAAATTTTCAGAAGAATCATGTGCTAACATACACTACAAGCTGTATCCACTATCTAGTAAATAATTACTGTCGAAAAATCTAAGTGAGGTAGCACTTGGCAAGTTATTTGGATCTGCGTAACATCATCATTACGTTGCACACACAACTCATGTTTCGAAAAACAAGCAGCCAGCTTCGTGGACACTTGCGAGTTTGACGAACAGTTTTATTCCTGTGTAAAGAATGATTCTACAATATCTTGAGGTTATAATGACAATGCATAAAGGGTTTTAGGGAAGAAACTGAGATTTACTCTCCCGACTGAGTCGATTTCGGATCGCTTCAGCAGCAGAAAGTCGAGCTTTTCTTCAACGCTCACGTCAAGAAGCATCCCCAAGGTAGAACAATACCCCATCCCTTCCGACCCAGCTGAGAAACAGCAGAATTTCTTACTCAACGCAGGTTCATGGAGCGAAATACATGTGAAAGCATTTTCAAGGCAAAAAAGCAGATAATCAGTTCTTTTTGGAGGTATGACACAGCTTGACTAAAGCAGCTGTTTAACGTTGGATGTGTACCTACCTAAAGAAATTCGAGAGCTAAGAGGTGCTTTAATCAGTAAAAACTCCAGGTGGACCCATAATTTTGTCCAGCCTTCAAGCCTGCTTTTTTCAAAATTTTTAATTTTTTCTTGAATAACCAAACGAAAACGAGACCCATTTTGAAGACTGATAGTAGGCTGTTAAGCACACGGCTGTACTAAATTTTGGAACATTTTATTGACAATAGGGTGAGTTATGGCACTTTTTAGAGTGGACCTATAATTTTGTCCAGCACTGTATGTGGATTGCATTTCTTGATCGAATTGTTTAGTAAAGCGACGAAAAATGCGTTCTTCTTCATAGTTATTTTTGGTAGTGAGTACGCCCTTGAATCTTATTCTTCAAACTTAGCGGTTTCTTGCTCAGCGTGTAGAATAATGCTGAGAACGTCGTTGGAAACAGAGACGACGATAAAGGGATAAGAACACAAAGGGCGCATCAAAAACCAGATTGGGACGTGAATCTAGACTCAAAGTAAAAAAAAATCCGTTTCTGAAACTGAATTTTCTGCTGATTTTCTTCTTCTTGGCTATCACCACGATACGCCATTGTTTTTGTAACAATTGCAAAGAGAAACCAACTTCTTTCGCCTTCTCCTGAACTGTGAACCGACGGGTCCCTGAAGCGAACTTGCGATCGAGATACCGCCAAAAGAGACAAGTCATTGTAGTGTTTCTTCCCGTCTTTAAGCAGTTTATTTTGCTTTTGCAATCAAGTTTGACTCTCTCTCGTCTCCTAGACAACCTTCACTTTTGAGGGGACAAGACCAGACAGCCTTCATTTGCAGGAGTCTAGACTGTTGGATTATGATAGTGGGCTTGGTCGAACTCGTAAGAATTTGCATGAAACAATTCGAAGCTTTTTCTTTGTTAATTTGAATGTTCTATCCTTTTTTCGAGAAAGTGATTAATAGTTTGAGTCCGAGCTCTCAAATCTTATTCAAAAATAACCTCCGGGTTTTGAATTCTGTATAGAGCTTATCGGAATGCTCCATTTGAAGGATTGAACTTCTACTAGACTTGGACCGAAGCATTGGCAAGCCTGTGACGGCCTAAATAGATCTGTCATGGTAATTGAACAGTCTCCGTTGCGGCTAGGTTCGGGCAAAGCAAGAGCGGAAAAATAGTGGGAGACGGCATCTAATTTGCTCCTCTGTTTATGATATATACGCTGCTGCATGACGAAGACGCAATATCTTTGGGTGCGAACGCGGCTTTATTAGCCGCAGAGCGCATGAGGCGCAGAATTTACAATGGTGAGGATATGGGCGCGCCGCGTTTGCGCCCGCTCAACCGATACTGCTTCTGCGCCTTCGTCATGCAGTAGCCTTTAAGGGAATTGGGAAAGCCATACTACTACGGAGTTGTCAGTCTCTGCTAATTAGACATTTAAGGAGCCGTGATATGCTGTGCATTGAAAAACCTTGACCTTCAATTTTACCCTCTCACCAAAGGTCTCAGTGCAGCCATTCTCAAGCATGGTAATTTTAGACTGTCAACCGCTACAATTACAGTCCTGCGCAAAAAAGTTGGATTATATGGGCAGTGGCGATTGGCACCATATTGGGAACAGTTCCTGTTAATTACTTTTACATCAAATATGGCGCGAGGGGAGTTTATGATGCAGTCGTTGAGCAAGAGTTAGACAAATTACTCTGTGTTAAGGTGGCCATTCTTCCTTTCGGGAATGCTATCGGTGTGTTCTACAGCCGTTATTCCACTCGCTGCCTACCTTGGATTACCGTACCTCCTTGTTTCAAGATTTGTGCAGGTACCCTCTTTTGTCCTCCCTTAGTGAAATCAGCAGGTCTCAATGCTCAAAGCTTGCCTTCCGCGTTGTGTTCAACAGGAAAATTATACTTCTTTAACTTTCATCCAAGTCGTATACGTTTTAGAACATACCTGTATAATTTTACTTGCAGGGGCTTGCATATGCTGCCGACTTTGCTGCCATTGGAATAATTTGTGTACGCTGGGCTCCTTTATCTCAGATTGGATTATTCATAAGTATACTGACAACATTCACGCAGATATCCAGTATCGTTACAAATCCACTATCTGGTTGGGTAAGCGTTGAATGAATTTAGTTGAATAAACTCACACCTTAATGTGTTACTGTAATGAATACTTTAACTAGACGTACAGGGTTTGACAACCTGGCCTTGGCTTTTCGTGATTTATTTCTTTCAAACATGTCATCTAAAAGACAACCTAGCAGCCTTTCTAGTCATACTTAAATTTTGTGAACTAAGTAATCACAGCTCACACAAGAGCTGAGATTAAAAATTTATTAGATGTGCAAATGTTTGTTTTTGTACCTTCCCTCGAAGTTCGTGGAGTATAGACCAACTGAAATAAATAGTATTCAAAGCAAATTCCTCTTTCCAGCATTTATGCTTACGAAGTGATTCCGCCTTCAGAAAGAGTTTTCCAATTTTTCGTTTCAGTAATTGCGTAACACAACAATACTACTTGAACACGACGAAAAATGATTGCGAAAGTTGCTTTAGTTTAAAAAGGGTGCCCTAATAGCTGGCTATCAAAACTTTTGCATTGGTTTCAACTAAATAAAATCTGATTTACTATAAACGATGAGTTAGAAACCGCTACAGTTATCTTTAACATTGTTCTAGGGTTTATCGAAAAAATCACCTCAAAAATATGGCGAAATCATTGCTATCGAAAATGGGAAAAACTCTGCCCTGACGCTTCTACTGCTTGGAGTATTTTTTATCTTTCTCACAAGATTTGCATAGACTGAATAAATGAAAACTTTTGAACTAGCTAATGTGTATTAGGTCGTTCCAAAAGTTTTTTCCGTTTTTGTTTCTATCTGTCATGAAAACACGTTGAATGAAAATGGGCAGAATTTCCAAAACACACTGTACGCAATCTTCCTCTTCTCAGCAGTCGTGTTTTTTTGTTTCGTGATCTTAAAAATCGCCAAAATTTCGAACATTTTTACACACTCGAGTTTGGCAACTTCTCAAAATGTTCGGTCTTAGTTTCTGAAAGAGCAATGATAACAAATGGATAGAGTCAAAGTGCAATAAGAAGATTTTCCCTAGGTATGTCCGACTAGCGCTGCAATTTTTCTTGCTTTTTTGTTGAAATTCTTCACTGCAAAGTCGGTACACGAATGCATCAAACACGAGAAATCTGCGAGAGCGTAACAAAACGCGAGTATCATTTAACACTAAATTTACAAAGCAGATAAGCGTTTACCGCTTCAAGATAGCTAATTCTGAAATGTCGTGTACACCCACAACCGCGTTAAAGCTCCTCAATTGGGATGATTCCATCCCCGAGGGTTTGCAAATCGTGAAGAAAAAAGCCTAGCAGGAAAGGAAAGCTGAGCCAAGCAATTCTCTATTTGCTTGTCTATCGATATTTTGTGAGTTTAGGCTGTGGAATTAGCTGAAATCAGAAAAATGACTATAGTGATGAAAAGCTTGCTGGGGATGCAAAAAATTGTTGCACTTTTCTTGTTCCAGTCACCTATCATCAAAACTCCTGCAAGAGTTTAATATAACCAAATTTGAGGCATGGTAATCAGGGTTTCACCATTTTAGCAATTATTTGAGTAACCAAAAAAGCGAGTTTTCAAAATATCATTTTTGAGAAGAGTAGGAAACATTGCATAGAAAGGTTTTTGAGTGTTGAACCATCTTTATCCGACCTGCGTATATGATAAACTAAAAACCGAAAGGATTTCCGAAACGACCTAAAGTTTTGCTATAGCGGCCATATATGAATCCTTGAGCATGGCTTAGTTGAGTGATCTACTATCCATTATACCAGATAAGAGAGAAAACGAAGCTTTCAAGGCTCCTCCCTTGATCTCAAACACCGACACGCTGAGCATCGCAAGAGATTTTTATTTTAGCTCTGCCACTCCAGCCTTGGATGGCGCTCTGCTTTTTACGTACATGCAGCTTTTGGATTGTTCATGTTCCTTCTCTGGATTATGTTCTACCGCGATGATCCACAGCTACATTCATGCGTTAGCGAAAAAGAGCTTTCAAAAATCCACAAGGACAAGACACGCGCTCATATAGAGAGAGACAGCTTTGTACCTTATAAGGTAAAACTTAAGATAACGGTCATGCATTTGCTCAACGCCTTTCAGGAAATCATTACAAATAAGGTTATCCTGATAATTTGGTTCAACGCTTTTACGGAAATGACCACAGCCATTCTACTTTTGGTGTATGCTCCTACATATTTCCACAAAGTTCTTGGATATGATATTCCTACAACTGGAAAGTTTGGCAATCAGGTACTTAAATCCACCCTTTAATTGATCTATATTTCAGGTGTGCTTGTCTCTGTGACTGCTAGCACTCACATTCCGCTCAAAATTATTGGTGGAGTTATCAGTGACAGAGTAAGGTACAATTATTTGCCCCATACAGCGACAAATATATATTCGCCCTATTTCAGAGTCCTCGACGAGCGATACAAAATGTGGTTTTTCAACTCAATTTCTGTAGGATTAGCAGGAGTTTGTTGCGCATTGATCGGAGTGTTTTCAGCCGAATGGTCTAAAACTGGTGTTACACTATTCACCTTAGTAATCACCTGTATGGGTTTCAATCCTGGTGGCTTCTATAAATGCGGAACACTTTGTTCAAGGTAATTTCCAAAGAGTTGCCCTTTTGTATTAATGGCCCATGATTCTTTACCGTTTCCACTTTCTCCCGTGATAACTCCCATTCTTCTTGCATTTTTTGAAGGTTCTGCGGTTCCATTCGACAGAGCAATCCAAGCTCTACAAGGCCGCACCTTGATATTTGCTCAAAGTATGTTTCACATGGAGATCCATGCGAGTCTAGAAAAAATTTCTTCGTCCAGAAAAGTACTACGAGCTTTTTGCTTGCACATTACACCGCTCACATTTTTTGAAAAATGGAAGCGAATGTATGGACATGTCGCTACATGTCGCTAAATGTCCATACATGCAGCGACATGTAGCGACTTGTATGGACATCGCTTCATAAATGGACATTTAGCGACATGTCCATACATGTCCACCGTTTCCGTACATTCGCGTCCATTTTTCAAAAAATGTGAGCGGTATTGTATACACTCTCTAGTTCTTATATTTTATTTATGAACTTGTTTATTTTTTTTCTTGGCCAGAAATCGAAAAACCTATGAATGCCAAACTAGGTCGAAAAAGTCTTTTCGGGGCTTTTCGTTTGGTATTTTTTCGAAAATTATAGCCTTAGGACAAAAATTCATGGTACTTGCGAAGACCCATACCAGGGCTCGGCACAGAGGGTCTGGGGTCAAATTGGACTTCGTTTTTGAAGCTAAAAGCAACGGGGATATCGTTTTTATAAGATCCTATGGGAAACGCCGATAGAAGAACCACGAACATGTTAGGTTATACGAGTTGAACGTGTTCATTCGTAAGCGCGCGAATTTCAAACGCAAGACTTAAACAAACAAATGGCTTGTTTACAGCGCATAAACAATTACATGGCTCCGAATTTGGGCTATGTGTATACAATATTACTCCAAACTATGTTATGTAAAAAGTTCCCAAAACTTATGTGTCCTAACATCCGTTCCCGAAAAAACCAACTGGGTTGGTTCGGAGCATAAATATCGGAGAGTTCACATATATTAGAACGATCGAATATCTACCATATAGTGAAGAGAGCGAATCAAACTATTGCCTCTCCTCTTTTTTTTGAGCTAAAGTAGTGTAAATCTATGCGTTGATAGATATTGCGCTCCTATCTCACGCGGTGTCCTTTGAAATATATGGTGAAAAATGCACCGCCAGATTGTTGAGGCCACAGATTTGGTTAGCCTAAGAGGTTTTCGACATTCTCGGCACTGAAATGGTATTAATCCTACCCAAAGACAGAGCCTTAAATCAACTCCAAATGTTTTCTTCTTGCTTTTTCGGTTATATTAGGTACCTCAAATGCGCTTCTTTCGCTTTTTTAATGTTATTTCGATTGGATAAGGGTTTCCCTACTGATTTTTACGTCGAGAGGGACTCCGTAAATCTTCGCGAAGTCATGGGGGACTTCGTTTCCAAAAATGCTCCAAACCAACGCTTGCCGGGCCCTGCCCGTACCATAGAATTACCTAAATGGGATTAGCACACAATGCATTTTTGGCAAAAACATATAAACTACTTTTTCATCAAGCATGGAAAAATGGGGACTTATATGGAAAGCCGGGTGTGGATAGCACATGCGAGAGCAACAAAAACTCCGTAGGAATATTTGCACTGAGTTATAAGGACTGCTTTGGACGTTTAGATTTTCTTAGATTTCGGCTTCGAACTTCATGAAGAACAAACTTTGAGCATAAGTTTGGATCATGTTTTGTAAAGCTTGCTTCGCTCTGTTAAATGATACTGCAAAATCTATCAGAGAAACAAGAAGAATATGAGTTATTGTAAAACCTGTCTAAGAAACGAGAAAAAAGAGTTCTTGAGAAAGAAAAAAGGTGATAGTTAGGAGACATCCCAATAGATAAACAAAACGCATTGAACTAATCCAGCTAATACCGATAATAACTATATCACAGTATTTAGACAGTACGCTCACTTTGTGTTAGCTGCTATACAATTCATGAAATGTGTTGCCATGTTTGTCGCTCCTGGAACAGTTGCCTTACTAGTTCAAGATGAAAGTCGCTACAATCAGTGGCGGTATGTCTACTGGATCAACGGTATTCTTTTGATAATAGTGAGTACTAGTAGTAGAACATTGATATAAATAGCATCAACTTTGCGGAAGCGAATTAAAACATTCTGCAGTATTGCGACGATTCCACTGATAAGACTTCATTTGAAAAAAAAACACTTGGTAGTAGGTGACTGATTTTGAAACAATGTAGTGAGATAAAGCGCAACTTCTGTTTAGTGGTGTTGGTTTTATTCTTTTTAGTGCTTTCTTATCTGCTATTTAGGCAAATTTCACTTTTCTCCCCATAGCAACTGATCAACCTGCTTCATTTACTCTAATCACGCGAGCAACTAAAGAAGAGCAAAATAGGAAGAAATTTTCCTACAGTAAAGTAAGCCCGTTTTTTGCTTTCCATAACATATTTCGATTACAAAACATTACAGAAAAGCAATGGCAAGGTCTCCAAGGAGGATTGTGAACAGTGCGACCTTCGATTATAATAAGCGCAGTGTTTTATAAAGCTTTGCTACTCGAATTTCCTTGTTAAAATGTGTCATACGCATTAAATGTATTCTTTCCAAGTTGTGAGGATCTGCAAAAAACTTGGTTTTTTATCCTCACATACATGAGCTTTTCTTACTTTCACATACATTCGCTCTGCTCGTCTAGTGCATGCTATAAAAGCGGATTTATCTCCGTCATAGTCACAGACTCAACTTTGACTCAAAAAGTTTTTAGGTCGTTGCAAATGTTAGATGACACTTTTTATTCTTCTTTTAAAAAAGCAACACAAACTGGCCAAATGTTTTGCAACACTACCTTCCGACCATGCACAGAGTTTCTGCAAACATGTTATTGGAGAAGTCATTCTAACGGCAAAGCCTGAAAGCTTGCAGCAAAACGTTTGCAAAGTGTCGGTGACGTCTTTCGAATTCTAAATGTTTTCCTTTCGAAGAAACTTTTCTACAGCACCCAATATGTTTTTCCGCGAAAATTGTAATTATGTGATAGACGTACGTCTGTCCATCTCCATATTTATGGTCCTTGTAATCCAGATAATTTTTAGACTTTTTTAATTCTTTTAGATTCACTATAAGAACTAATAGTTGTGCTTACAGCAAAGACTCATTCCGTGATATATAGTCAAGCATATCACTCTCCAACGATTATCAAACTTCTGCGAAGTTCAAAAAGTCATAAAATGTGGTTTAACCAGCAGTTATTTTTGTGCTTCGAACCGTCTCTACACGAAAATTCTTGAATTTCCATCACATTTTTCCTCTCAACCCCAGAAATTTTATCTTGTGGAATAATCAGCTGTGTCGAACCAAGACTGCAGAAAGTCTAAAAATTCTGCAATGAAGCACTCTTAAACAAAAGAAAAACCTACAATTCATAGTATATAGTCCCATCGTATATCAACCATTCTCACAAACCAGAAGCGGTATTATACGCTGCGAAGAACGAACACTGAAAACAAAGTCCTGGCTACCTGACGTACGGGCAGCTGCGCATGAAACAAAAAAATGGAATTACTTTGACGACATAGTTTCAGATGTAAATTGTACAGATTAAGTGAGCTATTAGAACGTTGTTGAACAAACGACGGTTTTTATTTTGGTTATCATCTTCAAGATTCGTATTGACTTTAAGCGAAGTTTGATTCGCTTGATTGAGTTTGTTTTAATTTAATAGACTGAAATCATATGAGTTAAACGATTTGAATTTCTGCTTTTGACAAAGAACTAATGAAAAGTCTTTTGTGGAGTGAAAAAAAAACTGGAAGGATAACCTGCAAAGAAGATAGTCTAATGAGTAAGATTCTAAACATGACTGAAACACATTTTATCGGATGTTTCGCAATTGCAACGCAGTCTCAGTAAGGTTCGGGTAGGAGAATCTTGAATGTATGCAAGAGACGCGATCTTTATTGCTGAGCAACTGAAATTTATAGCAAGATATATTAGGTCGTTCCATAAGTTCATAGCGTTTTCATTTTCGTCCTCACTTCTTTGAGGAGCGGCTGATATGTGGCAAAATGTGCACAACATTATTAGAAAGAGTTGATTATGCTCTTCAATACCTACCTGCTAATTTGAGTGGAAAGCTGATCTATTCGGATCTCTCGGCTTTTGATTATGGAGATCTTAAAAGACAAAAGAAAAAGCAATTTCTGCATTCGCGCATTTTTTCCCATAAAAAGGAGCGTTTTTACAGATTCTTGCCGATTATGGAACTCGGCGTTCGCCAATCACTATGAGAAAAAAGTGTTAGGATTACTACAAAAGGCTGAGGCTGAGCAGGACTTTTGGGTCCAACAATTTTCACTAAAAATCAGCCAATAATGTATTCTTCAATGCAGCGCACGACCCTTTTGCCACATTCCTGTGTGCTTTCCAATCTCAATTTTCCAAACGGCAGTGCGCCGGGTCCACAGAAAGCCATCTAACCGGCGCTCAAATTACTCAACGAAATTGAAACATGCACTATTTATAGTTTGCGAGAAAGCAGAACAAATGATAATTTGATAGGGGAAGATTTGAGGAGTACTTTGGGTACTGAAGTACCTCCAAGTAATTTCTTGCAGGACAGTTTCCACGACGTTTGCCGTATGAGGTCATGTTTTGTCATGCAGAAAAGCTCACTGAATCTGTCTTTTTGGCTTTTTCTGCGGTATTACCTCATTAAGGCAAAAACGCTCCTTTTTATGGAAAAAAATGCGCGAATGCAGAATTTGCTCATTTTTGTCTTTTAAGATCTCCATAATTAGCAGCCAAGAGATCCGAATAGATCAGTTTTCCACTCGAATCACATAGTAGGTACGTATTGAAGAGCATAATCAAATCTTTCTAACGAAGTACACATTTTGCCACATATCAGTCGCTCACCAAAGAAGTGAGGACGAAAATGAAAACTTTACGAACTTATGGAACGACTTAATATATCTTGTCAGAAATTTCAGTTGCTCCTAGAACATCATGAGATGCTAAAAATCCGCTAATTAGTGTCCATCTAGCAATAAAGATTGTCTTGCATACATTCAACATTCTTCTACCCGAACCTTACTGAACTGCGTTGCAATTGCGGAACATCCGATAAAATGTGTTCAGCCATGTTTAGAGTTTTACTTAAATAGATTATCTTCTTCGTTTATTATCCTTCCAATTTTTTTTCACTCCACAAAAGACTTTTCAATAGTTCTTTATATGAAAAGCAGAAATTCAAATCGTTTAGCTCAGATAATTTCAATTTAACAAATTAGAACAAATTCAATTAAGCGAATCAGCTCATATCAGGTTTTATTATGAGAGAACTACGATGGACTTCAGAGCCTTAATGCTGTTTGGATGCAACTCATGTTGAGCGACTGGTAGCGAACTCCTGATGCAGAACTTTGAGATAGATAAGGCTAACTCCAACTATGGCATAATTTGTAAAAAACTATACCTCAACATTTTGATTGATGAACTGAGTGAGAATAATGACGCAAATAGTTTATCTATATATAATTATCTGGGAACTTTAAACACTCAAAACATTATTGATAAGCACAATAGTCTTATTGATAATCTTAAGTTAAAATACACTGAAAATCCAGTCATTCCCAATATCTACTGTATTCCCAAATTCCATAAAAATCCTATCAAATTTAGATTTATCACCGGAGCTTTCAGCGTAGTATAAAACCATTGTCAATAGAATTGACTTGAATTTTTACATTCATAAGAACTCATTTTAAAAACTATGCTAGAGTTGTTTATCTCAATAAAAAGTGCCTAGAAACATACTGGTCCATTAATGATATAAATATTTCCTACGAATTACAGACTATATATGGTAAACAACTCAAGCTTTATTCAGCAGATTTCACTAATATGCTTACCAACATACCCCATAATGTTATTATAAAAAATCTAACAGATATTCTTAAAATTTGCATGAAAAACAGCAGTAGCAAGTATATTACTTGTACGAACAGTAAAATCTACTACTGCAATACTCCAGCTGAAAAACCAAATCAAAGGAGCTACGAAATTGAAGACCTAGTATACATGACGCTATATCTCATTGAAAAGTTATAGTAAAATTGGTAACGAAATTGGTAAAAAGTTATAGTAAAATTGGTAACCATGTCTTCAAACAGAAAGTAGGTGTCCCGCAAGGGAGTAACGCTAGCCCTGTTATAGCAGACCTCACTTTAGCATATTTAGAATATAAGTACGTTGTTAGTTACCCCAAAACAAATATTCTATTCAAGCCTTTTAGATACATGGATGACTTATTAGTTATTCATAATCAAGAAGAGTCAAAAATAGTCAGTATGCTTAAGGATACATATAATAATATCCTAGAATTTGAAAGCACTCATCTTACTGATTTTCAGTGCAACTTTCTTGATCTTCAAATTGTAATCATCAATGATAATATTACTACGCAACAATACAGTAAAACAGATCATTTTCAATTCAAAGTAAACAAGTACACACACGCTCATTCACATTTGAGTATCAACATTAAAATAGCTATCATATATGGTGAACTTCTAAGAATTTATAAAATTTGTACATTTTTTGAAAATTTTGTGGAAAGATTATTAATTCTCATTAATCAACTGTTGGTACTAGAATATTCGCCTAACACAATAGCTAATGCGCTAATCAAATGTTTAACATTTAACAGAAGCATTTCTTCAAAATATCTGGAATTACATTCCTTCAAAAATACAAAAAAATTTATCAGATTCTTGTTTCAAAGACTTAAACTTCTTTGACCTTCAAAAAAATTTGATCCCCAATTTTCTTTGATCTTTTCGCTCTACCCTAAACGTATAAATAGAGTTCCTCTAGCTCATTTCTATGTATTTCTGCTATCACCACTCTTCCCTACTGATGAGCCTCGGGAGTGGTCTACATTACACCCTAACCTGTATAGGGATAGAGGCGAAACAGGCAGTACGGTATTCAAACACTGTATATTCATTTGAGGAATGGTATGCGGAAGTACAGACAAAGAAGATACTGAAAGCCGAAAAAAAGAGAAGTATAAAAATACTAAAGGAGTTTTTGTGAGTATCACGTACCGCCAGCAGCATTACTCAACGAAGACGGGGCCAACTTTCTTCCACATATAGTAAGTTTCAACTCGGTTTAGCGGAAATTGAACTGGCGGGAGTCCGCTTCGCAACGGTTCGAGCCGCTCTGAGTCTGCGTCCCTTCCTTCTAATCTATCTTGCTGAGCCAGTGGCGGTGCGGACCCGCTGCTACATTTGGAATGTTTCGCCTACTTCGCGTTGAAAAAGACTGTAAGAAGAAATTTACTGCAAGAAACTTTTACAGGCTGCTCCAAACGTTATCTCTTGCGAAGGTCCGCGATAGTTCTTGGTGGGGCGATGTGGGCTTGCGAACAGTGAATGTTACATGTCGAGGCCATCACATGCTCCAATACGTCGTCGACCGGCCCGTAACTGTTCTTCGGTGAAATAGACTATACACTGTCCTCTGCCGCTAAG